AACGACCAGGCACCTTTGGTGTAACTGAGGCATGGACATTCTGGCATATAGCACCAAAAAGGCTCTTCCCTCAAGTCTGCTTATTGGAGGGATGAGGATATTAGAGATCAAGCCTCCAAGATTGTAGTCATAATTCTGCCATTAACTTTTCTGTGCCCCAGTTTCTCCATCTGTGAAATGGGAGTAATAATTGTTACCCAAGGGGTATTGCGAGTTTTCATCCACCACTTGTATACAAATGTTTTGTAGTTTATAGTTAGCCTTCTTCCAGACTTGGGCAATTTTAATTTTAATTTTTATTTCAAGTTTGGAAAGTCAGTGAAGAACAGACTGAAAACTGGATCGCCTGGTTCAATCCTGATGCTATCATTAAGTCTACTAACTGCTAACTGGTGTAATTTTCTAGAAATATTCTGTTAATCTGGAAGGATCTGAGAAAGTATAGGCCATAAAGTTTGACCTCGATACTGGGTAAAATTTTGGAAAAAATTATCAAGAAGTCCATTTGTGAGAGACTGGCAGAAGGCATGATGCTGAAAGATAGCCAACATAGTTTTGTTGTGGTCAGGTCATATCTGATCAACCTCGTCTTCTTCTGTGATCAAGTAATAAACCACTTAGATGTGGGAGACATGGTTGATGTCATATACTTGGATTTTAAAAAGGCCTTTGATATGGTCTCTCATGATGCTCTTACAAAAAAACTGGTGGATTGTGGGCTGGCAGAATCCACGGTCAGGTGGGTTGGGAACTGGCTAAGGGGCTGAATCCAGAGACTGTTAGGGGACGGGTCTGTATCATCTTGGTGGGAGGTGTCTTGCAGGGTTCAGTTCTTGGCCCTGCGCTGTTCAGCATCTTTATCAATGATTCAGATGAGCATGTGGAAACACGCTGGCCAAGTTTGCAGATGATACTAAGTTATGGGGAAAAGTGGTCATGACAGGGGATAGGATGCAGATCCAAGTGAACCTAGACAAGCTGGAAATGTGGGCAGAGCAGAACCAGATGTAGTTCAATAAGGATAAATACAGAGTGCTTCATCTGGGGAGAAGTAACCAGCGACATGAATGTAGGTTAGGAACAGATGTCTTGGCCAGCATGATAGCTGAAAGGGACCTTGAGGTTATGGATGATCACAGGATGAACATGAGCCACTAGTGCAACATTGTAGTCAACAGAGCTAATAGCATACTGGGATGCATTAGCTGATGCATCATAAGCCAGGCTGAGGAAGTGATAGGTGGCACTGGTGAGACTCCAGCTGGAGTACTGTGTCCTCTCTACTTTGTGCTGGTGAGACTCCAGCTGGAGTACTGTGTCCAGTTCTGGGTGCCACACTTCAAAAAAGACATGGAGAATCTTGCAGGGCCAGAGAAGGGCCACAAGAATGATTGAGGGCCTGGAGGACAAACCTTATGAATAAAGACTAAGGGGGAAGCTGTTCAGCCTGGGGAAGAGAAGACTGAGGCAGGACTTGGTGGCCATCTATAAGTATGTAAAGGGTGAGTATCGGGAGCTGGGAGAAAAACTGTTCACTAGGGTGCCTGAGGGGAGAAAAAGGACCAATGGCCATAAACTGTTAGAGGATGGTTTCAGGTTGGATGTAAGGAAGAACTTCTTCACAGTAAGGGTGATCAGAATCTGAAATAGACTTCCCAAGGAGGTGGTACAGTCTCCAACCTTGGAAGTCTTCAAGAGGAGACTGGACAGACGCTTTGCTGGGATCATTTGATCTCAGCAGTATTCCTGCCCAGAGCTGGAGGGGTTGGATTCAGTGGTCTTTCAAGCTCTCCTCCAGCCCTTAATTTTTATGATTCTATGAATCCTTGAAATCCTTTAATTGAATCTTCTAAGGTTTTGCATCATGGCAAGGAAGAAAATGAGAGAGAATAGGAACTAAGATTAAAGAAGCTTTGCTAGTTAGTCCAGAGTTATTGAGTCAGCCTTCTCTCTCCCTGGGCACATCAACAGGTGCAATTAATGTGCAGTAATAAACTCCAGCACATATCATGCTGAAGTCTGTTGCTCCCAGGCACTGAACCTTCACATATGCCTGGGACCACAGCACATTGAGCCAGGTTGGAGCAACCCTGACTGGCAGGGGGCCCAGGGAGCCAGCCTGCCAACCTGGGGCTGCTAAACCCAGCTCAGCGTGCTGTGGAGGGACTGGCTGGGGCACAAAGGTGCTTCAGTGCAGGGCTAGCTGGCAAGCAGTCCCCACACTGAAGCACCCTGGTACCTCTGGCCATGTCCACACCTACATGCGCATTGCTGAGAAGTAAAAAACTCCATCATAGGACAGCAAGTACTAACCTACGGCAGAGCTAATTAGTTTTACTGTGTCCTAATAGCACTGCATGTGTAGATGCTGAGATGTTTACTGAAGAGCTAATTAGCAACTGCGCAATAAATGTCTTATGTAGTAGCCATGCTATCTGTCTCTAAATCTATTCAAAACCCTATTACAGAGGCAGGCAAAGTCCGGCCAATCCAGCCAGCAGTGGACTCCATTTCCCAGCAGCCCCTGCTCGCATGGAGACCCCATGGGGTCTGTGATAGCATAAGGCTGGAGTTGCCAGGGAGACTGGCCTCAGCCATGCTGACAGGGTGAGCGGTAGGGCAGGGCAGGGCAGGGCAGGCCTGCTCCAGAGCCCTGGAATCTTGCGGCAGGGGCAGCTTGGTCCAGGGCCAGGGCATAGCCATGATCTGCAGCCTGCATGCTCAGGGAAGGGGTGTGCAGGCAGTGGATTCCTGTTTTGCTCCAGCTTGGGACCATGCTGTCACTGTTGCAAGGAGCCAAGGCAGAGTTGCAATCTGCAGCCAGCACACTCTGGGCAAGGACATGCAGGCAGTGGATCACAGCTCTGCCCCGGCTCTTTGCAACGGTGACAGTGTGGTCCCCAGCCGGGGCAGAACTGTGATCCACTGCCTGCGTGCCCCTGCCCCAGGCATGCAGCCTGCAGATCATGGCTCTACCCTGGCCCTGGACCAAGCTGCCCCTGCCACGAGATCCCAGGGGTCCGGAGCAACCCCCTGCCCTGCACTCCGCACACCCTGCCAGCATGGTTGAGGCTGGTCTCCATGGCAACCCCAGCCTTGCACTATCACAGCACAGCTGCCGCTGGGGTCTCCATGGAGACTGGCCCCAGCCATGTGGGCCGGGGCTGCTGGGAAATGGAGTCCAGCTGCTGGCTGGATCCACCATTTTGCCCACCCCTGCCCTATTCCCTTTGCATGTGTTTCCCATGGACAGTATTGCTGCTCACATACGTTATGCAAGAATTGCCACAATGTCGTATTTTGTTTATAACTGGTTTCTTTAGACCAAGGCTTTAACATCCACTGTCACATGCCATTGCCCAGGGCATTCTAACCCAACATCATGTAAATTGCAGCATCCAAAAGAAAAGGATCTTTTTTTTCTTTTTTCCCAATAGACAAGAAACTTCTTTGTGAAGTCACAGTATTTCCTAACAGATAAAAATTGAACTTAAATGCAGCAGACATCAAGGTAATAACTGACTCTTGTGAGAAGCCAGTGAATAGGGCTCATTGAAGTACTCGTCTTTCCCTCAGCCTGAGAGCTTTCCTGATGGCAAACACTTTTAGTATTGCTATTATATGGAAATGTTTTAACAAAGGTGCTTATAGCCTATACCAGGAATGTAGTTCAGTGGGGCTCAAGGCATCTTTTGCAGTGCTGTTAGTGACAGGGAGAGTGCTGCATGAAATCCTTATTGACAAGGCCCTCCATCCTACACGATACAGTGGAGCATTTATGCAGCAGAGATCCCAGCTTTATTGAGCAAACTCCCCAGGTTTCCATGTTTACAGGGGCATGGTGGTGGCTGTGTGGACTAGGCCCAAGTGTTAGTGAGGATGAGAAGCACAAGCCGGTATGTGTTTGCCTAGTATTGCCTCTGTGTTCCTCTAGGCAGGCACATTTTTTTCAGTAGGCAGACAGGGGCTGAAGGGTGGCATAGGTTGTAGAGGGGAGACTGCAGGGATTAGTGGGAGAGAGGAGATAAAACAATTTAAATTGGCATAGAGCTGAGAGCCATTATAATCTAATCAGGTTTGAAAACTTTAGGCAATTAAAGCAGCAGTAGCCCTAGAAGGGAATAGGAGACCTCTTGCTCTCCTCTTGACCCAGGCCGCCACAGGCTCCTAGGCTGCAGCCTGCTGGAGGTGCCCACCTTGTGAAGGTTGGACCCCCTAGGGCAAGTCTCCCTCTCCTTCCTGCATATTGTTCAGCCTTTGAAGTTCCTGCTCAGTCCTCCAGTTGTCAGCTCTGCAGAGCTGTTCATCTATGAAGACAGGCAAAATGCTAGGCATAGAAACAGCAAAATGCTGAAGTTGAGGTACAGATAGAGTTAATTGGCCTCTGAGAAAAGAGTGAAACAGCCGTAGCTGACCCACCCATAGAACTGCATAAACCATGGGATTTTTAGTTCCTTTCCCATGACTGAGCTGAAGTGTCACAGAAACCCCCCCCAATCATTCTTCCACTTCAAGGCCTATCCAGGAGTATTTTGATGGCTAGAGCTGTGTTTTGTTATGAGAGGCCAAATTCATCTTTGTTGTAATTCTACTGGCTTCTATTTCTGCCTCCAGAAAGCAGTAGTTCCAAGAGGATATTGACTGACTTAGCTAATAAGGTATATCCCAAAGAATAAGTGCTTTGTATTAGCATAGCTCTTCTATCCAAATATTTCAAAGTGCTTTATAAAGATTAAGGAACTGAGACTTATTATATCCCTGTGAGGAAGACAGTAAGATGTGGTGAAAAAATTCCTGAAAAGATAGCTACTGATTTTTCCTGGTAGTTCTAGAAACCTACCAATAATAATTGTGCAGCATTTTCACTGCTCACAGACCTTAATACACCCCAACTCAATCTGTTTTTACTATAATTTGGTGATCTGTTATCCATTATCTCAGGAGGGAAAAGATCATTCATTTTCCTGACATGCACTGAATGCTTCAGTGTTGGCTCTTACCAGATATCCAACTCAGAGGAATAATCAGTGGCTCCAAGTAGCACATCAGGAGGACGATACCAGAGTGTCACCACCTCACAAGAATATGTGTGACTAGGGATAGATTTGGCACGGGCCAGACCTGCCAACACACAAAAAACATGGCTTGTTACATTTCTTGGCCCTTTAAAACCAATTGTGAGTCCACCAACCCATTTTTTTTTACTGACAATCTGCAAACTTTTTACTGACAATCAAAGTCTGTTATTATGGTTGATGTTAAACCCCTACATTTGAACACAGCCCTTGTTAATGCTGTCCAGGGCCTGGCAGAAGGGTTACATTTACATTATATAAAACATTTATCAGTAAAAAAAAAAAAGTTTGGTTATCAGTTAAAAGTTTGCAGATTGTTAGTAAAAAATGTTCTTGGGTTAGCAACCCTGGATGGGAGCATGATAATCAGGGAGCTGTGGAGGGACTATTAGGGAGCTGTGGCAGGACTAGAGGGATGCAGGAGGGTGCAACAAGCTTGGCATACAGAAGCTATGAACTGTGAGGGCTTCTGGTTTGTATAAATGCTACTTACATTTCTAAAGTTAAATGTTGAGTTTTTTTGTACAAGGCCTGCACCATCAGATATTCAACACTAAAATAAACCAGCCTCATGACAACACAGAGAATAGGTACAAGAAAAAGTAAATAATCAGTAAAACCCTCTTATAATAGAGGTTGGCAGCCTATAGCCTACAGGCCACATGAGGACTGCAAAGAGGTCTGATCTGGCCTGTAAAAGTCTCATCCAGCACTGGGCATCGATGGCAGAGTTGCACCATACCACCCATCTCCCTCTGCTGGAGTCCCCTTGGCTGTGGATTCTACTGCTCTGATAACAAATATGTGCTTCCCTCACTGCAGCAAGGGTGAGTGCAAGCAGCTGCTATTTTTGGGGTGAAGACTTCTGGTTTGCAGTCACAGCCCTGCAGCAAGCTCCAGCTCACTCCAGCAGGAGGCTGCCAACCCCTGCACAATTCATGCTGGTGTGGAATTATTAGCACACATTTGGGATGATTTACTTAATTCAGTCTCTGCTTTGCCACTTGTGAATAATGCAGCTATCCCAAACCCCTGACAATAAAAGTTTTACACTGCACCAAACCATCATGTATCTTGTATGTCAGGGGCGGGCAATTATTTCAGGCGGAGGGCTGCTTAATGAGTTTTGGCAAGTCATTGAGGGCTGCATGGGTAGCCCTGACCCTTGATAGGTGCCCCGCGCCCTGGTCACCATCTTGGGGCCAGGAGTCCTACCCCCTAACTCCTGACCTTTGCCACCAGAAGCCCTTCCCCTTGCCCCCTGGAAGTACTCCTCTCAGCAAAGGGGTTTGCTTTCTTGGAACCAGAAAAATACCAAATTATATTCTAAAAATCAAACGTACTACAACATTAATTAATTTCATTTCAAAAAATAATTTTGTCCTGATTTACATGTGTTTATGTGGAGTACATAGAAGTGATAGTATAATAGCTTAAAATGAATGCTTATTCTTGTATATTGTGGGAGGGTGTGGGTGGGAAGGTGTGTATAGGTTTGTGGGTATGTGGGGTGTGGGGGAGGGTATGTGTGTGGATTTGTGGGGGGTGTGGGTGTTTGGGGCTTGGGGGGTATGATTTGTGTGGGGGGCTGTGAGTGTGTGTGGGGAAGGTGGCTAGGGAGGGTTGTGGCTTGCATGGAGGAGGAGGGTTTGCCCACAGCCCACTCCCCCCATGGCAGGCCAAGCCCCTGCCAGCGCTCCTGCAAGCCCAGGCTCCACGCTCCTGCTGCTCCTGGCCCCAGGGCACCTACGCAGGCCTCGCGCTCCTGCTTGCTGACACTTCCCCCCATTTGCCATCGCTGTCCTTCTTCTGCCACTTCCACATCCCGCCCCGCCTGCTCACTGCTCCAGCACCATGTCTCAGCTCCTCCTGCAGTCCTGGCAATGCAGCTGGGAACCAGGTGGTGCTGGAGCTGCCAGCAAGTGGCAGGGGGGAAGTGGGGAAATGGCTGTGGCAGGTGGGGGGAAGGGGTAGTGAGCAGGTACATGGAGTGCAGCAACATTTGGGCAGGAGTGCGGAGCCCGTGCTGGTGGCCCAGAGCAGGGCAGCAGGAGTTCAGGGTCTGGGCTGGCAGGGGTTTAGGCTGCAGTGTGGCTCCTTCACCACTGCATCTGTGCTGCCCAGCATGGCAGCAGTGGCCATGTGGAACAGCCACAGGGCAGCTCACAAGTGGCAGGGAAGGAGCCACACTGCAGCCTAGCACAGCGCAGGCTCCCAGCAGCTGCACCAAAAACCAGTGGCGGCGAGGGAGAGGGGAAGCTTACCCCCACGCTGAGCAGCAGTTTCTGCCCAGCCATTGCTGCCACTACCACTGCCATTCAGCCCTGATGGGGAGCCTGGAGCCAGTGTGGGGCCCAGGCTGAACAGGGGCAGCGCACGACAAACTGCTGCTCAGTGCAGCAGAAAAGTGGCCCTGCCACTCCCGCTGCTGGCACTCCCTGGTTCAGCCGCTCAGAGCCCATGTGGGGCTGCCTGTGCCTGCTCTGCGCTGCCACCGCTGCCCCACAGGGCAGCCCGGAGACGATGGTGATGCGGCAGAAACAGAGGACAGCCCTGCGTAGAATCTGGGCAGCTGCACCAGGAAGCGCTGGCCTTGGTGGGAGGGGATGCTTTTCTCCCACGCTGAGCAGCAGTTTGTTCCGTGCCGCTGCTGCTAAGCCCAGACAAGCGAGCGCAGGGCAAGTGGGGTTGGGACTGTGTGCGCTGGTCCCTGCCTGTATCGAGGGACTGGGGCATGGGGGACTGGAGGTGAGCAGGCACGCAGGAGCTAGCTACAGCTGGACAGGAGCATCGGACCTGCACTGGTGTCCTGGGGCCAGTGCTGGCAGGACCCAGAGCAGGGCACCAGGAGCACAGGGTCCCAGCCGGTTGGGGCTCTATGGAGCTGGGCCAGCTCCCCCTTCTCTCTGCTGGCACAGCCCAGCTCCACAGACGCCTGCCAGCGCAGGCCCTGTGCTCCCATATGCCGCTCGCTTCCACTCCCCACCCCCGCACTGCCACTTTCCCCACTTTCCTGCCCTCCCACTGGCCGCTCTGCACCATGTGGCTCCTGGCTGCATGGCTGGACTGTGGGACTCAGCAGGGGCCAGCCCAGCCCGGCCCCAAAGACTGGGGCAATCACCCATGGTCCTCCCCTGCCTCCCCATCCGCCATCCCTTCTTACCTGAATTTCCTGCTCCCACGCATAGAGTCATGAACAGCCCCATGGTCCCAGGCCAGAAGCCCCTGCTAGGCAGGGCCTTCCGGCTGGGGGGGATGGGACCAGGCAGCCCTTGCTGTTCAGGATTGTGCTGTGGCTTCACCTGGGTCCTACTGCCCCTGGCTCCTGTAATTTTTGATGGGCAGCTGGGGGCAGATAAATAATAATTTTCTAAATTTTTTAGGGGCCTGTGGGCCAGACAGAATGGCCTGGCAGGTTGGATCTGGCCCATGGGCCATATTTTGCCCACCCCTGCTGTATGTACTATTTCATGTAGAGTGGCTCTGATTCTCATCTCTATTGAACAGAGTTTGCGTTGTGGCAGTAGCATAACCAGGGGTTGGGGGCAGTGATTGGAGCAGCAGCTCTGGGAGCCACCTTTGGTAGGTGGTGCAAAAACAGTCACTGCCACAATTGGCACAGCAGGAGCTAGCACTGCCCCATTCATTAGCAGCTGCCTTGAACATGGATCTGCCCTGCTACACCTCTGCACTATGGTGAATACATTGACTTAAATGCAGTTATTCCCAATGTCTACCAGCATGAAGGAGAGGAAAACTAGGTCTACAGATTAACCACAGTAATACTTCTGTAAAAGTGCAGTGGAAAAGGCTATGCTCGCATGCCTTAGGCAGCTTTGGATGTATTAATGTGTGAAAGCCTGGCTCTTAGCAGGTGCATTAACCAGGCAGTGACTCACCAAAGTCAGCTAATTTGAGCTCACCAAGGCAACTGATGAGCAAGTTTGGGGGTTTCAGATCACGGTGAAGAATGAGTTGGTTGTGGATGTAAGTCAGGCCTCGCAAAAGCTGGAACATAAAAATCTAGAAAAAAAAACAAAAATAAACTGAAAGAGATTTGTATGATTTTGTATTGTTGTATACACTTTGAGTGCCAGAGAAGCAGAGCTAAAAGGAGGGAGAAATCAGTAAAATTGTGGAAACTAGTTGAGCAACTGCATGGACTGAGGGGAGAATTGTAACAATATACAGCTCCCCCATTCTCCATGTCTCTTTCAGCATATTATGCTTTAACGATGAAGATCCTAAATGACCATTTCAAAAGCCTCATGTCCTTTTCGAATTTAACTATTCATTTCAAGAGCAAAGTTAGCACACAGTAAAGCACAGACTCAGCACCCAGGATGTCAAACATTCAGACCCTGGTGTTAGTCAATGGAGGATTAAAAAAGGAGGAAAGAATGCAGACCCTTGGCTAGTCTACCCCAGGAAGTCTGTGCCAGTATAGCTAGCTATAGGAATAAATCTCTTAGGGTAAACACAGCTCAAATTGGAGGAGGGAATTCATTTGCTGGAATAATTAAATCACCTCAGCAAAAAGGACTTGTGCTAGTCAAAGTTAAAGGTTTGTGGGGAACAACATCGTTTTGTTAGGGTAGAGGTGTGATTTTTCTTTCATACTCATAACTAGAGCTTGGTTTAAATTGCAGGCCCAGCTTGCTAATATCATGGCCTGATCATGGCGGTGGCCACCATTTTCATACCCAGATCAAGGGGCTGTTTGCTGATAGCTGCTGCAGGATAGAAGCATTCCCTAGCCAGCAGCAAAAGCCTAGCAGCCCAGGGGAGCGAGGAAGGGGTTGAAAAAGAGACGGGGGGAAGAGAGAGCTTGGGGATGGGTAGCAGAGGGGTTGTTTGCTCCTCCGGGTGGGAAAACTGAGGGGTGGGGTGGGGTGGGGTTGCTAAGGCTGCCTTAGCAGACAGCTCTGGCACTGGGTATGGGAGGGGCTGTTTGTTCTCTCCCTCAACTCCCTGCCTGTGTGTTCTCTCCCTCAACCCAGTTTTCCTACCCAGAGTACCAAACAGCCTCTCTCCTACCTGGTGCCTTTAATTGAAAGATAGGTTGAATCTTGACAAAACGATCTTTTCTCCAAATTGTTTGTCAGAAGTTTGGGTTAAATACACATTAGTAAAACGCTTAAGACATTTTGAGCATTGCAACAATTTACCATGATCTGACATTATGGAATATAAATATATATTTTTGGGCTTTAAGGTATATTAGTTTGTTTTTTTTTAATTTACCATAACATTGTGAGGATGAAGTCCTCCTGGATGTTGGGCCATGTATTGTGCCAGGTCTGTGTGCTAAATAAAGAGAATAAAGAGACAGGCCTTAAAACAAAGCTGTGCAAGCATCTATGGAAGACTAACTAGGAACATGCTAAGAATCGAGAGACATCTTAGTCACTGGTGACTGGTGTGTAGTATTCAACACAAGCTGGAAAGTTCATATTTAATTTCATCCTGGTAAAAAAATGTATCGTTAAAGCCTTAGTAGTATATAGGCTCACCGCCCTTCAATGCAAATGTGACAGGTGGCCAGGACTGGAAGTCCCACCCCCTCGCCCCGCCCCGTTTCCCTTATATGGTGTGTGACATCACTAGCCCCACCCCCTGACCCCAGTCACATGGTGTGTGACATCATCAGCCCCCCCCCGACCCCAGTCACGTGGTGTGTGATGTCACCAACCCCGCCCCTGACACCAGTCACATGGCATGTGACATCAACCCCACCTCATCACATGGTGCATGACATAACCAACTCCGCCCCTACCCCAGTCATATGTTGCATGACATCAGCAACTCTGCCCCCACCCCCAGTCACATGGTGTGTGATGCTACCACCACATGGTCCATGACATCAGAAGGACCGCTCATGCAGACCCCAAACCCCAACCCCTCATGTTGCAAGACCCACCCTAGACCACGTGGTACTGTTATGACCTATCAGGTCCCAGACTGCTCTAGCCCCTAGAGCACAGGCATGGCCTATGGGGTGGCAGTGGGGTGGTGTGACCCCTCTAGCAACCCGCCCCACCACCCCCGACCAGTTGCTGGGGGTTTCAGAGGCCTTGAACCTCCCAAGAATGATGCTGAACCAATTGGAATGAGTAGAGGGGGTGGGATTTAGGCTGCAACCCCACCAGATCTATCTGCTTTCCCAAACAACCCCTCTGTTTATCTGAGACCATGCTAAGGCAAGCAGGGGCAGATATGGATTCTTTTACAATGCCTGTAGGTCCACTCACCACAACCCCAAGATGGCCTCATAGAAAGCATTACTGTAGAAATAGTTTTGAGGAGGAGGCCAGGCTCCTAGCCCAAAGACTCTTTGAGACGCCTGAACCTGTTCAGGAAGACCCAATGAACAGGCAAATGGAGGAGGCCTGGGCCCCCAAAGCAGACATTGAGAATTTGGAAGATGGTATCTTTGTGCCAGAGCCTGCATGTGAAGTAGAGGTCATCACAGAGGAGAGACCGGTAAGAGACTTGGAGCATGGTTGTAGGGGCACTTAGATTTTGAGGGTAGTGGTATGGGTTCACTTCATAGTACGTGTGTGTTTGGAAGTAGCTAAGGACTGATTAAACAGCAGCTAACTAAGTCCTTTATTTGTAGTCCTTTGCAGTTAGATGAAGCCTTTTAATGACACCAGAAGGAAGCATATGCTTCTGCAGAGAACAGAAACCAGATGAGGCTAAAGAGTTCAGAAGACAATTAGGCATTGAAACATCAGGTCCTGTTTCAAGTCAAGAATGTAAAATCTTCATGAAGTCTCTTGTGCGCATTTCCTTTTATGGCATAATGAAATACTGTTTGAGGAAGAGACTTTCTTACCAATGCTGGGGGTGCACATATGATCAAGGGGGTCAAGAAGTGCACAATTGTGTTACTTGGTTAGATGAAGACATAAATCAGACAATTCAGGAACTTTGCCAGGAAATATGTCTTGATAGCATTTTCAATGCTGTTATAGCCATTGGGTTTGCCAGGAACATTCTCAGAATTACTGAGAAACATTTAATTCAGGTTAAAGAACTTCTAAACACTGTGTATTCTGAAGAAGATCCTAATGCTGCCCTTCATGATTTGATCACTAAGGAAGATAAAACGCTCATACCCCATATTGACTGTTTAATTGGTACTAGAGATTATAAAACCCTGCTTAAGAGAAGGATTTAGCAAAAACAGTTTAAAATGGGAGGGTTTATATATTTTGCTGATCTTGGTGGGAGCCTGGGGGTGTGGGGTTGTAAAACACATCAACAGTTTTCTACATCTAACGTAGATTAGCATTTGCTTTAGTGTCTTGGATCTCTAATCACATACATATAGGGTTTTTTGTAAAGATAAAAGATAAACCAGACCACAAAAAAGATGACCAATGTGTTCAGAGCTCTGCATATTTTAAGACTAAAGGAGTTATCTTTTACCAAAAGGTCTTTTGTAAAGATAAAGCCAATAAGGCTTAATGATCCCTAGAAATGATTTAAAAAACCTTTTTTAGGAGAAGGTTTAACAAAATAAACCAGTAAATATTGTAAAGAGTTTTGATGGAAATAAAGACAGATTAAAATATATATTCTTACAGGGCTTTTATGCTATGGGAGGGGCTGTGAATTTTCAAAGAACCGGGGGTGTGTTGTAAAGATAAACCAGACCACAAAAAAGCTGACCTGTGTGTCCAGATCGCTACATATTTTAAGACTAAAGGGGTGGAGTTATCTTTTAGTCGTGACTCTGTTTTAAAAGTTATATTTTACTTTATACATACACTATTTTTCTTACTGTATTATATAATTTTTAATACAGAGGACTGACTTATTGTATCATTTGATTTATATGTAGCTACCGCCCCCAGCTCTCCCTAAGTCCAAACGCAAAGTGTTTGTTGTGGGAGACTCCATCCTGAGGGGGACTGAGGTGGTAATCTACCACCCCGACCCCTTAGCCCGGGAAGTTTGCTGCTTCCTGGGAGCCCGTCTTACTGTATTATATAATTTTTAATACAGAGGACTGACTTATTGTATCATTTGATTTATATGTAGCTACCGCCCCCAGCTCTCCCTAAGTCCAAACGCAAAGTGTTTGTTGTGGGAGACTCCATCCTGAGGGGGACTGAGGTGGTAATCTACCACCCCGACCCCTTAGCCCGGGAAGTTTGCTGCTTCCTGGGAGCCCGCATCCAAGACATTGCACAGAAGATCCCTAAGCTCCTCCAGCCCACTGACCACTATCCCATGCTCCTCATTCATGTGGGCACCGATGACACGGCTCGGAGTGCTCCCAGTCAGGTTATGAGGTGCTACAGGGATTTGGGTGCAGGGCTAAAGGGTCTGGGGGCACAGGTGGTGTTTTCTTCGATCCTCCCAGTCTTCGGCTATGGGCTGAGAAGGGAGAGGAGGATCCAGGTAGTCAACCAAAGACTGCGGCACTGGTGTCATCAGGAAGGCTTTGGCTTCCATGACCACAGTCCGCTCTTTGGAGAGAGAGGCAGTGAGCTGCTGGGAAGAGATGGCCTCCACCTCTCTCTGTTAGGGAGGAGGCTCTTCTCAGCCAGACTGGCTGACCTGCTCCACTGAGCTTTAAACTAAGCCCGCCGGAGGATGGGGGGACTACTGCCACTGCTGGCCCACTGAGCAGCCCTTGCAAAGCCATCAGGCCAAGGCACATAAGGGATCCCACCCCAGCCCCAGCCCTGGAACAAAATGTAGGCCGGGCAAGGGACCCCAAGGAGACACTTGCGTATCTATACACAAATGCCAGGAGCCTGGGGAATAAATAGGAAGAACTTGTTCTCCTGCTAAATGCACATAACTATAATATCATTGTGTGCCCGCCTCCATTCAGTTAGGCGCTCCTGTGTGGCCTTTGCCTGGACTAGGGATCGTGTCTGTCCTAGGCTCGCGGGTGGACCCCACAGGCTACCCCTGCTGACGTCAGGGGGTCCCCTTAACTTTACTGCCACGACTTGGGATGTCACCTCAGTGGAGGGGTTCCCCCTTGCGGCAGCCTCCAGGGTCACCGCACCTCCCGGCGGGCACTCACGGGGCTCCGACCTCCCCTACACCCCGGCCACTCGCCCCATTGGGTTGCCAATCTTCGGGCCCCTTTTGATGTCTTCAGCTCTTCCCCAGCTCCTGCCCACGGCTTGCCTGCTGCGTGCCCAGGTCTTCGGGCCCGGTATATGGCCCATGAGGACCTCCAGCCTGGTCCTTCCAGTAAGGCTCCCTATCGTTCTAAACTAATCACCCTGTGACATTATGTGCCTATCCCACCACCAAGATAACCAAGGTCCCTAAGCTAATGGGCCAGGAAGCCCGCAACGGTGCCTCTGGCCTCTGGGCCGTGTGGTTCGCCCTGGGCTCGGGTTCCACCACCCAGGCGGCTCACCCACTGGGGTGTTGAATCCCCGCCTCTTCCCAAGGCCGCTGTGGGCCACGACAGTCCACTGTCCAGCCCTGCTTTGGGACTTTGTCCGTCCCCTGGTGTGGCCCGACGAGGCCCCGTTGGACCCGCCCCTCTATTACCTCTTCTCCAAATCCTCCGCGGGTGCTGCCACTGGCTCTGCTGTGAGTGCAGCTGCTGGTTCCCCTGTCGGCGTTGCCCCACCTTCACTGCTGCCTCTGTGGCTGCCGGCGCTGCCGGCTCTCCAGCTGATTCCACTGCTGGTGTTACAACCAGCTTCCCTGCTGGCTCCGCTGTTAATGTTGCAGTCGGCTTCCCTGTCGGCTCTGCCACCGACGATGCAGCCGGCTTCCTTGCCGGCTCTGCTGTCGGTGTCTCTGCCGACTCTCTCGGAGCCTCTCCTAGCTCCGACCCCAGCTTTCCACGCTGCTGGGCGTGGCGGCTGGTTCCCTCTGAGTGAGGGCTCTTCCCTCCAGCCTCCACGCATCAGCTGCCCCTCCGCATCGTCGGGGGGGGCTTTCTCCGTATCGTCGGGGTCGCTTTTTATGTCTCCCGGGCGGCGTCTCCCGCCCACGCTGCTTGGCCACAGCTGGATATATGCACGGCTAATCACTTTCACCAGTGGTTTCGCCGCGCGCCTCTCCTCCGGCTCTTTGGGCTCTACGGGAGGTAAGTGGGGCTCTCTTTTGGCCTGGTGCCCTCCTGCCCCCCCAGTTCCCCTGGGACACATTGGGATAACAGAGACCTGGTGGGATTCCACCCATGACTCGACCACAGGTATAGATGGCTATACCCTGCACAGGAGGGATCGAGTGGACAAAAGGGGCAGGGGCATAGCTCTCTATGTCAAGGAGAGCTGCACGTCCCTGCAAGCTGACATTGGCACCCGTGGTGGACG